GCTCTGCCACATGCAGAAATACTCAGACGATACTGTGATAGTTGGCTGTATCAAGGATGGACAGGAGGAGGAGTACAGGAGCCTGGTAGAGGACTTCGTGAGGTGGTGCAGGACCAACCATCTGCAGCTGAACACCTCCAAGACCAAGGAGATGGTGGTGGACTTCAGAAGGAAGAAACCACATCTCCAACCTGTGTCCATCGAGGTGGTCGATGTGGAGGTGGTCAGGACTTATAAATATCTGGGGCTGCAGCTGGATGACAAGCTGGACTGGACAGAAAATATGGACACTCTCCACAGGAAAGGGCAGAGCTGTCTGTACTTCCTGAGAAGACTGGGGTCCTTCAACATCTGCAAAAAAAAAACTGCTGCAGATGTTTTACCAGTCTGTGGTGGCCAGCGTCCTCTTTAATGCTGTAGTTTGCTGGGGAGGAAGCAGCAAGAAGAGAGACGCCGGTCGACTGGACAGACTGGTGAGGAGAGCTGGTTCAGTGGTGGGCTCAGAGCTGGACTCCCCAGTGACAGTGGCAGAAAGAAGGACCCTGGACAAACTGCTGTCCATACTAGACAACGCCCACCACCCTCTGCACAACACCTTCTCGGATAGAGGAGTGTGTTCAGTGGAAGACTGCTGTCCCAGCCCAGCTCCACCAGCAGACTTAAAAACTCTTTCTTCCCCCCTGGCCATCAGACTGTACAACAGCTCCTAGTCATGGCAGGGAGGACAGTAGACAAAAGAACAATTTCTACCTCCATCTGCACTCCATTTTGCACTGTTTACTGTTTTTGCACTGTTGTACTGTGTTATAAGTTATTTTAATTTTAATTCTATTTTAATATAGGTTTAATGTATGTATGTTTCGTATGCTACTGGATACTTGAATTTCCCTCGGTATAAATAAAGTATCTATCTATCTATCTATCTATCTATCTATCTATCTATCTATCTATCTATCTATCTATCTATCTATCTATCTAGTATTAAAAGTATCTAATGTTGGCTCCACATTTACAACATTAAAATGCTCTTACATGTATTTGTTAGTGATAAAAACTGAATAATATATTATTTAGGCCTATTATTATAACACTTTGAAAGGAGCCATTCTTTTTGTTTTGATACTTTAAGTACATTTTTTTCTTGTACTTAAGTAAAGGACCTGAATATTTCTTCCACCAAAGGTAGTTTCAGCGCTCTGTCATGTCAAATGATGGAGGGAAGCTCTGACGTCATTACTTGAGAGAAGTAATTTTACAATAGATATGATTGCATTTGAATGTAGAGCACTTTTCGATCAATCAAACATTTAAAAAGATAAGGTAAATATTAAAAACATGTCTGTTTTTTTGGGCAAATCCATTTTCATGTACACAAAGCGTGTTTGTCCCATAGCCAATAAGTAGGCGTATACAGAGCTAACCAGCATGACTTTTACCATGTTGTATTGTATTGACTTTGATCATCCTGGTGTAGCAATATCAGTGTAAATACTTTACAGAAACTTATATGGAGAGCATACGTTAAATATTTTGTTTAATCTGTGGAGGCAGAGTAAACTAATGAAAAATGGTTAGCAACAATAATTTTAGCAACATTTTCAGAGTCATTGAAGACCCCCACTAAAGTTATAGACATATTATTGTCTCTGTTTTGTTTCTGAGCAGAAGATTAGGAAATCCACTCCAGGGCTGCTCCATTTATAAACATCGCAGGACTGACACTTTATAAGAAGATCAAAATATTCTAATGCTGACGGCACTAATCATATAAGCCAAAGGTGCCTTACATCGCCTTATTAGGATCCATCTGACTGTAGTTTGGAGGGGGGGATTACACAGATACTGTACATAGAAGGCCCGGAGGGCAAGAGACAAACTGGACCACAACTCGTGAATCCAAATTTCAACCACAGCACAAACTGGAACGTAATCTAACTGAGATCTTCTGTATTTCTCTACAGAATTACCACTCTTTCTCTGAGGAGAAAGGACTTGATCATGATCTGATCCCTTACCTCAAAGCCTTTTCTCTTCTTCAGCCTCTTCTTGTTGAGCTTTTTGCAGGCGTACAGTTTCCCTGTGGCCTTCATCTGACAGGCAGACACTTCCCCAAAACCGCCTTTACCCAATACGCGAAAGTCCAAAAACCAATCCTCTCCCATGGGCTGCATCTCCAACCACTTCCACTGCAGAAACCTTTTCAGATACATACTCTCCAGGAAGAAAGTGTAGGGCACTTCCTTGAGGAAGTCCATCACATTGTCCATAGTCTCATTGAAAAGATCGTCCCCGGCCTCTTGGTGTTTCTCTTTGACCTTTGTGATACCGTTTTCTGGCAGGAAGGGGCAGAAATACTTGGCGCCCGGCTCCATATACCGGGACAAGATCTTGCTTGCTTTCATGACACGATCTTCATCCTCAGCATTGTTGTATTCCTCAATATCCTTCCACAGGCGGCAGGGGCCTTTATACTCGTTGTTGGAGTCTAGGAACTCCTGGAAGAGACGTTTGCCAATGGGCTGCTCCACACAGACTGTCTGGAAGCCCAGATCCAAAGTCTCCCGCAGGCCCTCACACACTGTGATGTGAGGCAGCTTCAGGCGGGAGTGGTACTTCTTGTCTCGGTTGAATGCAGGGTTGGCAGTGCCATCAAAGCTCCCACGGGCTGAGATGTAGGCAGAGTTGGCCACCACCGTTGTCAAGCCACCAATATCCATGGTGACAGAGTCGAAAAGTGAGGAGGAGGGACGAAGGAATGTGTGAGAAGCCCAGAGAGCAAAGTTACAAAGAGAAGGTGTTACAGGAAAGCAGGAGAGGAGCTTAAAAAGAAGAGGAAAGTAGCATAGACGCAGACAATATCTGACTAATTCCCAGATCAGGAGATGTGATCTGGATTTCTTATTCCATCAGCACTTCAAAATCAGAGAATATCACACATCTGACTACCTGCTCACTGTCGACTACCACAGTGTTTCCCCTCTTTGAGGCTATCACTAAACCTGAGAGTCTCTTCTCTTCCTCCCACACACATGCAGGCACACATGCGGATCTACCTGACTCATCACCTTTCCCCAAAGGGATTTACCCACTACATAATGCTTTATCCTGTGCTAACCCATGTGCACGCTGTAGAAGATGAAAAGGGAACACAACGGGTGAAAACAAGACAAGAAAGTGAGAGGAGAGAGGGAAATGAGGGATAACTGTGGTACGCATGCAATGTGCTGGTAAGGACAGGAATGTGGTGAAGTTCAGAGAGAGGCACTGTCACAGAGAGAAATAAGAGAAAGACAGTAGTGTTCACATCAGTTAACATTGTGCTTCTGCAGAGGCCTTCTTCTTTTGGCCTTTAATTTCTGTCTCTGTAACCCTCATTCATTCTCAAAACCTGCAATAATTCTCACAAAGGTGGCTACAGAGATTTAACTTCTTTGAAATAGAAATAACCTTTAATTAACAATAATAATTAAAACTGTGACGACTAACTAAGTATCTAAGTAGATTACTCAAGTACTGTGAGTACTTAATGAATACAAATTTGGGTTACTTGTAGTTCACATTAACTTTTTACAAATTAAGATTTTTACATAGAAAACACACAAAGAGATTATACAATATGATGCTTTGTTTTAATTGAAACCACCCAACGGTATATACAGCATCTCACAAAAGTAAGTACACCCCTCACATTTTTGTAAATATTTGATTATATCTTTTCATGTGACAACACTGAAGAAATGACACTTTGCTGCAATGTAAAGTTGTGAGTGTACAGCTTGCATAACAGTGTAAATTTGCTGTTCTCTCAAAATCACTCATCACACAGACATTAATGTCTAAACTGCTGGCAACAAAAGTGAATACACCTGTAAGTGAAAATGTCCAAATTGGGCCCAAAGTGTCAATATATTGTGTGTTATTTTTCATATTTTCCAGCACTGCCTTAACCCTCTTGGGCATTGAGTTCACCAGAGCTTCACAGGTTGCCACTGGAGTCCTCTTCCACTCATCCATGACGACATCACGGAGCTGGTGGATGTTAGAGACCTTGCGCGCCTCCACCTTCCATTTGAGGATGCCCCACAGATGCTCAGTAGTGTTTAGGTCTGGAGACATGCTTGGCCAGTCCATCACCTTTACGTCGTCTTGGAGGTGTGTTTGGGGTCGTTATCATGTTGGAATACTGCCCTGCGGCCCACTCTCCAAAGGGAGGGGATCCTGCTCTGCTTCAGTATGTCACAGTACATAAGTTGGCGTTCATGGTTCTCAAAATGAACTGTAACTCCCCAGTGCCGGCAGCACTCATGCAGCCCCAGACCATGACACTCCTACCACCATGCTTGACTGTAGGCAAGACACACTTGTCTTCCTCACTCCTCACCTGGTTGCTACCACACATGCTTGACACCAATAAGTTTATCTTGGTCTCATCAGACCACTGGTCATGATTTCAGTAATCCATGTCCAAAGTGTCAGTTTGACAGTGTTGGTTAACAAAATGGAAAAAACAGTTTAGAATTTATTTTATTTTAGGAAAAGTACAATGTTTTGAGTCCAACTCAGCTCTTCTGCAGGTACAGAATCAAACAGATGCAGGCTTTGGTTATGTTTCAGTGTGCCAATCATACATATCTGAGCAATATATATATAATCATATGCCGTCGTTCACCTTGACAGTTGGCATTAGCAGCCAAGCTGGCTGGCTTTTCAAGGTGATCCGGAGGTTTCTCCAGAGAGTAGGTTTACCTGTTTCTAAGTTGGCCAATCTTAGCTTTCCTACATGCCCACCTTATCTTGGCCTTATAAATAGTGAATAAGAGATAACACATACATCACACTCTGGAGTGAGGTCCAGGGAGTGACTTTTAGCTTTTACTGTAAAAGAGAATGAGACAGGCAACAAGACATTAGCACAAACCTGAAAGTGCCTCCAAATTGTTGGGGAGGGACAGGAGAGAGGAGATACAAATATTACTGTGTGCGTTTGTAGCGAGGGAGGGAAGAATAGAAGTAAAAGTTTAAAGTTGAGTTGAGTTGAGTAAAAGAAAGAAAAGGTCTGCTGTGGATCCTGGTCAGCACAGAGATTCATCATGGCCACCCTAAAAGAGAAGAGAACTTGTGGGCAGCGATGTGAAGACTTTGGCCATTTTGTCTGGAACTCCGACAATGGGACATTGATGGGGAGAACGCCAGAGAAATGGGGTAGGAATAAAATACCTCATTAATCTCTTGTGCAACATAAAAAAACCCTATAGGTTTAGCCTAAGTACTCAAATATTAATTAATTCATTTATGAGGATGTAGTTTGTAGCATTGCTATGGAAATATCCTGATAACTGTCTCTTAGTAGCTAGTGGTGAGGGTCAGCTTGTGACAAATGCTCCAGCCCTGCAGTTTTGTTCTTTGACATCTGTTTTCATCTTTGAAACTTGCCATATTGCATCAATTTTACATTGCTGGCGACCAATGCTACCAAACATTTAAGCAACGGTTACCTCACCAGCAATGACTGAGAAATTGTTTAACAGGTACTTTTGCCTAACAACCAGTTTAAACACAAGTAGGACGCAACAACTTTAATTAATACATGAGACAATGTCAACAAATATAAAACATTGTGAATCTGGTTTCAATCTGGAACAAGTGAGATTAACCTTTAAAGTATCCAATGTTTGTCCAATATTTAAAGTGAGAGTATTTTACAAATGGATGCAGGATATATTATGATTTTAAAAAGTCAATACTAATAGAGGCCTTTATGCACATCAGAAGAGTTTCTGTGTAATCTATGTAATAATTTCTCATGATTCTACTGGACCTAGTGAATAAAAGGCAAATATTTAATATTTTAATTAGCCAAATCAAGTCACCGTCTTTTTAGCACAGAATTCCAGACAGTGTTTCCTTTCCAATGCCAGTGTCTACAGGAAGAAGGATTACAGCAATCCATAACTCTTTAAATGTACATATGGGCAGTGGTGGAAGTAGTACCAATAATCCAAGATAAATATGTTCCATTACAAGTAAAAATACTGCTAACAAAATGCTATGGAAACAAGAGTATGTAAGTATAACGAGTATGCAGCAGAATGGTACATGTCAGTGTTTCATTATTATTTATTACATTGGTGGATTACTATTACTAAAGCCTTAAAGTGTAAGCAGCATTTTAATGGCTGGGGGTATTTTGAACTACTTTATAAATTGTTTTGTAGTTTAATTTACAACAGTGCATTTTATTTTAGAAGATCTTCATGTATTTTGTATGTATGTACATACAATCTAAACCTGCAAAGTATCTTATAACCACATCTGGAAAATAAATGTAGTAAATGCATTTATGTAGTAAATGAGTGCACACATTGTGCACTTTCATGTACTTACCATAGACTCCAACGAATGTTAAAATCAAGGGCAACTGGACTTGGTTGAAGATACGAGTATCTTCAACCAAGTCCAGTTGCCCTTGATTTTAACCTTCGTTGGATAACTATGACCTGGATGACTGAGAATCTTCATAGACATCTTACCATAGACTGTATATAAAAAGGTACTTACATGTACCATTCTGTGTGACTTTTTCCATCCTTTTAATGTCATTACAGTAAGGTGTATGTTTGCAGCCTGAAGGCAAAGAGAGATAAGTCTGCTGTTGTGATAAGCTTTTTATTTTTGTCAGAGTGCTTCCCCTTTAGCTTGATGTTACAATCAGATTAAATTGAGCTCATATTGACCGAGGACACCTTGACCTCTGCAAATGTGGACACACAATGTTGTACCCACACTTTCTTCTGTGTCATGAGTGTTTCCACATTAAGGATAACTGCCTGTATTTACAGAGTAAACTATAAATACAGGCAGGATATCTTCCACATTTTACAGTATTGCTTGGGTATGAAAACATCCACAACAACTATCAAGAAAAAGCTTTAATATGAGGAATCAGACAACATCGACAACAGGGGCACTAGGACAAAAAAAGGTGCAGCCATGAATGTGTAAAAAAAACCTCTATCAATTTCTCCTTCACAGTGTACATCAGTCTGTATTATGTGGCCTTCTACGTGGTGATGACAGGTCTCTTTTCTCTGGCCATCTGGACGCTCATGTACACCTTGGATCCGTACGCCCCTGACTATCAAGACCGGCTAAAATCTCCAGGGGTGATGGTGTGGCCCGACACTTACGGAGAGGAAGTTGTTGAAATCTCCTACAACACATCAGACAAGGCCAGCTGGATGAAGATGACCAACATCCTACATAAGTTCCTGGAGCGTTAGTATTTATTCAGTCGATCCTGCTGGACAGTTAATACGTGATACTTAACAAGGTCACACTTCAAAAGAAGACATCTAAATCTTTCTTTCCATCTCTCTCCTTCAGCCTACAATGACAC